GCTGGACTGGATTGCCGTTTTATCCTCAACTATATCCTATCAGCACCCCCAGTTGGACTCAAGCCATGACAGCGCAGCATATAATCCCGATAAAGTAACCACTCCGTCACATTACCACGAGTGCCCTTGGGTCATAGGGCAGATGTGAATTTCAAGGAAGACCGGGAATTTTTACGTATCACATTAAGTGGAGGGATTTTCGATAAAGCAAAATTATATTTAGTAAAGTAATCAATTAAATTAATTATTTTTAGTAGTTGCTTGACCTTGTTTTCGCAATTTGATCATATTGGCAGCAAGACATAGAGCAACACATGTCCGGAGTCCATATTATGCATGATAATTTCCAGAGTCGGGCCATGTACTTAGTGCATTTCCAAACGTTTCTTCGGCATTTTAGTCAGCATTTTCAGTGAACTTTGTCATTCTTAGAATCGCGCTATAACTTCTCAAAGAGACAAGTCACGGAAATGTGCCAAGTTTACTGCCCGACTCTGGAAATGATCATGTATACTATGGACTCTGGACATGATGCGTTCCTCTAAGTCTTGCTGCCAATATGGCCAAGTTGCGAAAACAAGTCAAGCGACTAGTAAAAAATAATTAATTTAGTCGATTACTTTACCAAATATAACTTTGCTTTATCGAAAATCTATCCACTTAATGTGATACGGATAAATGCCCGGTCTTCCTTGAACTTCACATCTTCCCTATGACCCAAGGGCACTCGTGGCAATGTAGCGGAGTGGTTACTTTATCGGGATTATATGCTGCGCTGTCATGGTTTGAGTCCAGTTGGGGGTGCTGGTAAGATATAGGCGAGGTTAAAACGGCATTCCAGTCTAGCCTGGGTGATAATGCTTTTTGAAAAGCAAGACTATGCAGAATTAAATGGAAGCGTAGGATATACTTATATTATTGTGGTGAAATTCAACTCAGTCCTTTATCATCTTAAATGAACTAGGATGAACACATTTCATGCATGGATTCTGCCTAACTTTTTCCCTTTTATATATCATTTTTCCATTGTATACTCTGCTTACGCCATTATTCGTGAATAGACGCAGACTATTCCTTTTACTGCTGGATTGGATAGGCGATTAGCTGCAAACTACTACCTTTTATTAGATTATAGCTTTCAGATTATCTGGAAGTATATAATTAGTGAATTTGCATGTCCATGCTAAATTCCATATTGTTATGTACCGAGTAAGGCCTACTCATTTTATTTGGAGAAATTCAACCACCGATCTCTACCTCACCTTTAACTATCTACAACAACCTAAGATTATACTTTTACTCTCCAATATAACAGAGGCCTATTTACTGGTTTACACAAGTTCTAAAAATTATTTTATAAATGTTTGTGTTTTGCATGACCATCTACCTGGTAGTTGAGTGAATGTGTTTTTTATTTGTTTTTATATTCGACATTTATCATTATATAGCCGGGAAATCAGTTGCATAGCAATCTCTCTTCAAGTGTTTATTCTGGTTCCCCAGCGACCTCTACTTGCAGTCGAATAGCAGAACCCACCCCCGCATCTGGCTCCGGTACTGGAACCTGTGAAGATAAGACCTCTGCTGCCTCTGCCACAGCCCGGAGTCTACGCTTCGTCTTTCGAATGGAGACAACGAGTCGTCGGCAGGCTGATGAAATGATGAATGAGATTCGCCAGGCTCTGGCTGCAAATGGTGTTGAGTTCAAGCAAAAAGAGGCTTACAAATTGGTCTGTGTTTATGGTGATCCCTCGGTCTCAGCCAGCCCGACACTCGCCACCGTGACTGCAACTAATTCTGAATCGGCCTCGTCACCGCCAGATATTGTCAATGCCAGTAGTGTTGGAGCGAATGGGGAGGATGAGCTTGTGCAGTGGGAGATGGAGGTGTGCAAATTACCCCGTCTTGGTATGAATGGAGTCCGATTCAAACGACTGATGGGCCCACTTCCTGCATTCAAAAAGATTGCCAACAAGTTGGCTGAGGATCTTAAACTCTAGCTTGTTCTTTCTCTTTCCTCATTGGCTTCATCCTCATTCCTAACACACTGCCGTTCTCTTTTCCTTGTTATTATGATGATCGCGCAGTAGCGCTCAGAAACTAAACCCAGCCATCGTTCTAGAATCTTCGTGATTAAAGAAGCATACTCTTTTCTGTTTGCCATTCTATCGTTACACCTATCGTTTTATGCCCTTTCTTTCGTTCGCTTGCTCAAATGGCTTAACTTTGTTCTTAATTTGCACACAGGGCATCCTTATTCATTGGCTTAGATACATATCAATAGCTAATTCACCAAGGATCATCGTTTGCTTTCGTCCTTTCCTGCCCTGTACTTCCCTTCTTATACATATTCCTATCTGCATTATTTTTAGTTTGGCCCTATTTTTTTCTAGACGACAAGCGACATGCCTTTTGATACCAAAAGAATCGAGTAATACCTCTAATGTCCAGAACTGATTGACTTTACATCACATTGATCAGTTCTGTTCGATGTCAATAATTCGGTGAATGCATATGCAGCTGAAAATTTCCATATATCCTTCCTCTTTGATTCCATTTTGTCTGTATTAGAACGTTTGTCTAGAAATGAGTTTTAATTTATTTAGCTATCCTTATTATCAGCAGATAGAGTGTAATAATAAGACACTACTTCGTCTATGTCTTATTCATCAAATGCAAAGATAGTTTGTAATTTTGCTGAGCCCTCACCCTCACAACTGCTATTTTAAGTTAGCTGGGAGCGTATGCGCTTCACTTTCTATGAATCAATGCATTTGTGTTTCTTTTATGATCAAAAAATGGCCGTTTTGGCCACTCTCTTCTTGTCCCCCATAAACACTTCTCCACTTTTTTGTTTGTTTGTTCCCATTTTGCCCTTAAAATTAATTATCCTTTTGCTAAATTAGCTCACGTTAGTTTGACACCATTCATCATGTTGGCCTGAGCCGAAAGTGTATACCAAAGCGGAGGCTGAATAATGAGCCAATCGGGTTAGGAATTGTTTTGACGGATAGATAAGTTATGGAAATGAACTTGGCCTATTTATATCCTTTGCCACCACCTTTCGGACAGCCCTCTTGATCTGTCGGTGTACATTAACCTTTCCCTTCTAGACTTCTTATTCTTTGCCTAAAATCGTCCCTCTTTGGCTGCGTTTTGTGTTCTCATCTTTAACCGATTTCCTAGCCTCATATTTCTATATAAAGCCTTCCTCATATTGCGTCCTAGGGGTAGATCTTGGGTGGCTTATTTCTTACTTTCAGCGCATCCAAAATCTTCACATCATTCACACTCCAATGAATTCTTGAATGATTTTCTGCCCGAGATTTATTGTAAAGCTTTTAGAAGCTGGTTTTCAAATCATAACATTTTATTCTACTATTGTTAGAGTTCTGTCTTTGTCTCACTTCTTTTTATTTAGACCTAAACTCGTCTCCTACTGTTTTGGTGTTTTATTTCACCTCTTGATCCATTAGGCCCTCTTACTTTTGTCGTATTTTTCCAACAGAACTATCAAATCTGCTTGCGTATTTCATGCTCCTTAACATTGATGCATTAAATTTTCTTCAACATTTTCATCTAAACCGACTGATTCTGTTTCTACCAGCTTATTTTTCTTCCCCTCTCTCATTCATTTCCATTTGCTCACTTTTTGCTTCAACATTGATTTTGTGTCTCGACTCTAACTATTCCACTTCTATGCTTGCTTGGCATGAATTGTGGTGAAATTTTGGCGTCACTATACACCGAGTCTCATTACCATCCCATTATGACTATAGATTTATCTAATGAGTGGCCTCCTTTATTCGTTCGTTCCCATACTTCTTTGACAATCTCTTCTATGTACATTGGCTTCATAACTCTAGTAATTCATTAAAACCTTTATATATATATATATATATATATATATATA